TTCTCTTCTCTTCTCTTCTCTTCTCTTCTCTTCTCTTCTCTTCTCTTCTCTTCTCTTCTCTTCTCTTCTCTTCTCTTCTCTTCTCTTCTCTTCTCTTCCCACCTGCAGACAACTCAGTAATTACTTCCCTTCCACCTCCCAGGACATCTAAGCACCCTGGGACCTAAAGATCTAGATCTCCTCCAGCTGAAGTGGACATGGGCACAAACCTCTCCCACAGTCTTTCTGATGAGAAGATTTGCTCTTGTAAAARCAAGGCCCCTTACCCGTCTTTGCTGACCTCTAATGAGGCAGAGTTTGGCTCAGATGTGCGTTCCCAGCCCACGCCAGACCAGACCACGCTGCAGATGTTCGGGCATGTGCTGAGAGGTAAAACAAGCCCGAGTTTTCTCCAACGCCTTATGCCAGAGCTTACTTGATTAGTGAGGCCGGTCTGCGGGGACGATACCTGTGCCTGGGCTTGAAGGCTGGGCTTCAGTTCAAAGACTGCGCTGGAGGAGCCTCGGGATGTGCTGGTGTCTCTCCGTAAAGCAGGAGTCACCAAATTTTGCTTCCTCGGAATTACTTTATTTTTTTAAATAATGTTGAAGTTGGATATAATTTGCATGCAGCTATGAAAGTCCTTTTTAGTTTAAAAAAAAAAAAAAAAAAAAAGAGGGAAGTTGATAAGTAACCAAGAAAGGAAATACCGAGGTTTAAAAGAGCCATAAAATTGTTTTACTTCAGCTTATCATTTTAAAAACTCAAACGCTGTAATTCTGGATGATTTGCCAGGTTTTTCCTCCGCAATTCTGCTTTTATCGACTCTTTAGGGATCAAAACAGGCATTTTAACTTCAGTCAGTGAACGCACAAATCAAACAGCCGCATTCCCCTAACTTCAGGCTCTGATTAATTCTGCTTGGAGCCTTTGACCTCGATTTCCACAACGTCTTGTGCTACATACAGAGGCTTGACCCASCGTCGGAAAACGCCGAGATTTGGGTTGGAAAAAGAAGAAAGGCACCTTCACGTCCACTGCCGGAGCGCTGCAGTACAGCCTATCAAACAAAGAGCTGAAATCTGCAGTTTAAGCCAGGGAGCCAGTTTCACAATCTGTTTCCTGTAGCAAGAGCTCATTCGCAGCCAGTGGAAAAAACAACTTCCAAAAGATAAAAGGCAGTGCTATGACTTTCAATCAATCTTGCCATTCAGTGTGGGAACACAGCACGTTAGAGTACAAACCCAACACTTCTGCTTGATTCTGCTCGGTATTGATCACTGATACCTGYGGGCGTTGTCAGAGACATCCAGCCAGTGCAAATTTGCCGTAGGAGAAGCGGGATATATCCAGCTCCCGAACATTAGGAATCAGATAGCAATAAAGCAAGCCTAAGTGACAGGTCTATTCATAGACAAACCGGGAGACCCGTAACAAGTGACAACAGCTGAGGACAGGCGGCTGAAGTGGGGGATACAGGGATGGAAAACAGAAGGAAAAGCAGGTGACGGCACTTGGATTCCTGGAATTGCGGCCGCACGACAGCAGCAAACCTGCAGCTCTGCCCGTTTCGCTCCCAGTTCTGTGCCAGCCCCAGCAACCACGGAGCCACGAGGTGGAGCCGACCAGGCAACTCACATAGATGAACTTATTATTATTATTATTATTATTATTATTATTATTTTTAAAAAAGGACTCCGTATGACCGGGCAAGCAGCGGCAAGGACACCTCACTGGGCTTCTCAGTGAGCAGCCTGCTCTGAGATGAAAACCTGTGGGTCTGCTGCCCACCTGGCACATTACAGGGACATTTTTGTCTGTSTGCCTTTGGATTCAGATCCGAAGGCACCGAATTTCCCCTGGACGGGCTGTTTTCGGTTTGTTTTCTCCTCCGTGCGGAGGCGTTCCCCCGCCTCGGGGTTTTCTTTGGCCGACGCAAACTCCTAACGTAAATTAACCACTGACCGCGTCACCGCCGTTAATAAGGGGCTTTTGGGGGTATTTTGTGGAAATCCGCCCCTC